TCTGTAAAACAGAACAGTAATCTACTTCGAAGGTAAAGTGCTTAGAATAATGCCTACCATACTGTAAACACTATAGAAATACTAAGTAATGTTGTCATTATTTTTTCCTTACTATTTTTAGACTAAATGTTAGGTGAGGAACAAAAAATAACACTATAATGTATGCTCAGATTTCAGTTTAACATTGTTACCGGGTATTATTTCAGCTAGTGGCTCATAGTCAAATCAAATCACCAAGTATTAAGTTCACAGCAAATGAAAAGTACAAAGAGGCATAATTCACATAAAAACAGACACATAGATGAAGGGAACAGAATAAAGAGCCCTGAAACAAACCCACACATATATAGCCAATTAATTTATGACAAAGGAGCCAAGAACACACAATGGGGAAAGGACAGTCTCTTCAATAAATGGTGCTGGGAAAACTGGACAGCCACATACAAAAGAATGAAACTGGACCATTATTTTCTACCATATATAAAAATTTACTCAAAATAAAGACCTAAACATAAGACCAGAAACCATAAAATGCCTAGAAAAAAACACAGGTGCTAAGCTCTTTGACACAGGTCTTGGTAATGTTTTTCTTTTTTTTAAACTGACATAAAAGCAAAAGCAACAAAAGTAAAAATAAACAAGTGGGACTATATCAAACTAAAAAGCTTCTGAACAGCAAAGAAAACTATCAACATAATGAAAAGGCAACCTACTGAATGAGAGAAAATATTTGCGAATCACATATCTGATAAGGGTTAATATCCAAACTATATAAAGAATTCATATAACTCAATAGCAAAAACAAACGAAAGTCTGATTTAAAAATGGGCAGAATATATGAATAGACATTTTTCCAAAGGAAATGCAGATACCAACAGGGACATGAAAAGATGCTCAACATTTTTAATCATCAAGGAAATGCAAACCAAAGTCACAATGAGATATCCTCACACTTGTTAGAATGGTTATTATCAAAAAGACTACAAATAATAAGTGTGGGTGAAGATGTGGAGAAAAGAGAATCCTTGTGCACTGTTGGTGGGAATGTAAATTGGTGCAGCCACTATGAAAGTTCCTTATAAAATTAAAAATACAACTACCATATGATCCAGTAATTCCACTTCTGGGTATTTATTAGAAGAAGAGGAATTCAGTGCCGTATTCATTGCAGCATTATTTACAATAGCCACGATAGGGAAACAACCTAAGTAACCATTGACAGATGAATGGATAAAGAAATTGATAAATAAATAAATAAATATATAGATATATATCTCTATATAGATAGATAGATAGATAGATAGATAGATAGATATAGATATTTACACACACACACAATGGAAAATTATTCAGCCATAAAAAAAGAATGAAATCTTGCCATTTGCAACAACATGGATGGGAATCAAGGGAATTATGTTAAGTGAAATAAGTCAGATAGAGAAAGACAAAACCATACGATCTCTCTTACATGTGGAATCTAAAAATAAATAAATTTTTTTAAAAAAAAACAAGCTCACAGATACAGAGAACAATTGGTGGCTGCCAGTGGCAGAGGGTGGGGACTAGGAGAATTTTTTTTTTGTTTTTAAGTGTAAATAAATTTAAAAATAAATAAATGAAAAAATTAAAAAGCATAATTTAACATGCATCAAAAGTATAGAATATTATATACACATACAATGGAATATTATTGAGCCATAAAAAGAAATGAAATTCTGATACATGGATGAAGCCTGAAAACATACCAAGTGAAATAAACTGGACACAAAAAGACAGTGTATAATTACACTTATATGAAGTAACTAGAATAGGCAAATTCAGAGACAGAAAGTAGAATAGGGGTTACCAGGAGCTGGAGCAGGGAGCGGATTTGGGGGGAATGTGAGGGGAATGGGGAGTTTTACTTAATCGGTACAGAGTTTCTGTTTTGGATGATTAAAAATTCTGGAAATGAATAATGGTGATAATTAAAAAACACTGTGAATGTTCTTAATAATGCCAATGAATTGTACACTTACAAATGGTTAAAATATTAAATTACTACAACAACAAAAAAAAACTTTAAAAAAATATAACCTATATTTTCAACAAGAAGTTTTAACATGAGTATCAGCCTTAATGGTATTAAAATAAAGAACAGATCACTTATTCTCAAGTTCCTAACTATGGACACCAAAGGAGTCAGTATCAACTCTTAACTGGCCCTGGTTTAACATACATGCCTGAAATGGGTACCAACCTTGTAAATTTCATAAGAAACATTATTTCACTGTTGATAGAGTTGTTTTGTTTTGTTTTGTTTTACCTTTTGAAGGGAGAGAGAAGGATAGAGAACTATACTGAAGAGATGTCTTTCTGTGTGGCCTATGTATAATGGTGGTTTTACAAGGAGGTACTTCTCCACAAAGAATCATGATAACATGAGTACAAAAGTACACCTGTAAGGGTGCCATACATGGATGTGTAAACAACTGATATTCAATTCAAAAGTAGAGAGGGTTCCCATGGATTGGTAAACCAGAATTTAAACCACTGAACTATCCCCCAAATTCAAACAAAAATTAAAAGTCCATTATTTTGATACATATAATAAAGTGAAATATTCGATATCTCTATTCCAAACATCCCAAGAGAAAGGTATATAGCATTATAAAAAGGTATATAGCATTATAAAAACACAATAAAAGTGACTTTAATAAATCAACATATTCCCAGAATGGCTAAGGACAAAGGATTCCAGTTAGGATAATTTAATTCTCTAGTAAACTGGTAATTACCGTATATCAAATATCATTCACAGAATAACAAATTTCAAAGAACTAAAATGCAATTTCCAAAGAATCGAAGGCCAAAATCAGACTAGCAATAACATTAGCAAACACTTACCTTGCTCTTACAATATGCCTGTTTTGTTCTAAGCTCTTTATATATACTAACTCATTTTATCCTCATAACAATCTTCTGAGAAAAGTATTATTATTCCCATTTTACAAATGAGGAAACTTAGGTGTAGAGGGGGTCAACTACCTTGCCCTGGCCCATTGTCTTCCTAGTATGTGGCAGAGCTAGAACTTAAATCCTGGAAGTGTGTTTCCCTGGTCTCTTATCATTGCAATGGTTAACTATCTCTTGGTGACATTAAAGAATTGGACAACACAAAGTTTCACAGGTAAACTCAAAATGCAAAACAGTTTGGGAATCAAATATAATGAAAGCTCTGAGGAAATCATCATATTACAACACAGGACAATAAATGACATTTGTGATAACTACTCTGAGAATTAAGGAAGGTTAAAATATGTTCAGTATACTTAAGTGTTTAAGAAAGAATTGTTTAGTGCACTTAAAATTCTTCCATCCAAAACAGTCAAAATATGATTTTCAATTCTAAAGGTGTAAAACTTTCAACTACCTAAAATTACTCATTCCCTAAGGGCTCCAAACCAAAGGGCTATGCAAAGCAATGTTATTTGCCTTTATCTTATTCTTAAAGATAAGGACGGTAGTGACGGTGGTAGTGGTGGTAGTGGTGCTGTGTGTGTTGGAGAATCACAAATTACGCTTTCCAGGTGTTTGAATTCCAGGAATGAGAACCTAATACTAAAGATATTAGAAAGTGTCAAATACCTTGGATAGATACGTGAACAAACTCATAGAATTATGTGTAATTATTATAAAAAGACTAGAATTTGATAATTAACAGGTTTTTTTTTAAGTATAGGCTTTGAAGTCATACACAAACCTGAATTTAAAACTTGGCTTCATTATTTAGTTACTATGACTATTTGACAAGTTAATTTCAAATAACTGAGTCTCAGTTTCCTTCTCTGTAAATTAAAATGATAGTAATTCCTAACTCACGAGGTTGAAAAGGAGTGAACACATGCAAAGTGTTGAACACAGTCCCTGGGATATAGCAGATGGTCAATAATGAGTGACTGACTACTATTATTTCCTAAGCTTATTCTACTTTGTCTCCCAAATATAAGAACCAATTCGTATCGATTAGCAAGTCTTTCGGTAGGCTTCTCATAACTCTATGAAATATATGCCCTATTCAAAAGTGAATCGTACTAAAAAGTACAATACAAAACCAAACCATCAATGAGATCAAAGATTTCAGAATTCTGATTCTCCTCCCACAACTATCCTTGGTTTTATAATAACCTGTATTCCTTTATCAACAATATGAATCCTATTATTTTTCGACCGTTTCAACATTCCTACTGGGGTTCTGCATGTATTTATTTTGACGGTTACCTTTGCAAGGGTAATTATCATTGCTTGAAAACCGAAAAGAAATCCAGGAACAAGGAACATTTTAATAACATGTTACAACTGTTCCATCCATCTCAACAGTCGATTGGATCTCATGTGGATCATTTATTATCACAACAGATTTTGACATTACTGCACCACCCCCTTGCCCAACAAATACATGCGTTACTGAGCAAAACTCCAGACTGAGAGAGAACGAATGCTGTATAGGCACATCAATACTCAAAACGTGGTGCTCCCAGTACGGATATTGGGGGAAGGGAGGCAGTGTTGCGGGGGTGGGGGACGGTGTGGATGGGTTTCGCTGCAAGTGGAAATGAACAGAATCGGAAACTGTTTTGTCCCTTTAAACAAGACAGATGAGCCCTGTGAGGCTAGGAACACAGAGAGGAGGGTGAGATGGGCCTGGAGGCAAGAGAGGAAGGAGATGGCAACTGCGGGCTGAGAAAGGGTCTGTGCCGCCAGAGAGAGGAGAGAAGGAGGCCATAGCCACCCCGAAAGCGGAGGCAGAGGAAAGTGGCCCCTTCAGCCTAGTCTGCAGAACAGGTTCAGCCCCTAGGAGTCTGGGGCGACTGAAAGGGAATAGGGACCCCGAACCGAAAAAAAGATGAGGGTAGGGGCGAGCTCCCGGTTGCTTTCAAAACGGGATGCCGCTGTCCCCACCGGGAACCCGGCGCCGGAGTTGAAGAAAGCAAGGACTCAATAGAGATCGCACAGGTTACCTGTCTCAGCTGCCCGCCCAACGGTCTCCACTTCCGCAGACTCGGGGTTACTACGGGCTACCGGGGGCACGCGCCAAGTGACGTCATCCACGCGCGCCGGGACCGCAGTCTGCCTGGCCCGCCCTCTTGGGAAGAGTGAGGCTGGGTAGTTGCGGGGAGGTCTGCGCAGGCGCAGACAGGAACAACACGAGCACCTTCGCTAGTTTGGGGTTTCGTAGAGTTACCCTGTTACCCAACAAACTACTTCTAATTGCAAAATGTCGTGGGCACTTAAGAAAAATATTATTGAAATACAAAAGTGCACGTTTCCATTTTTTGCTCCGCCTCTGCTGTATACGACTGTTTACATACTCATTCATTCCACCGCAATTTATTAAAGTCCTACGTACCAGGCAAGCACTCAGAATCTGACGTACGACGGAGAACGAAACAGACCCTGTGCCTAGCCTCACGGAGATTATCTTCTAATAGAGAAAGCAACTGAATGTCTCAACAAATTCATATGCTCTCTTAGAGAATATAAGTGTGTGGAAGGAAAATCAGTTGCTGAAAAACTAAAGGTGGGAGGGTGCCCCTTTAGTTTGAGATGTCAAAGAAGTGCCCTCCGAGGAGCTCATTGAACTCAGGAGAGAAACTGGCTCTGTAAAGAACTGGAGGAAGATGAATCAAGAAGTTTCAACGTGAAGGATCAACATGTTTGAAAGCTGTGCGGAGGGGACAGAATGTGATGCCCTTGAGAAAGTAAGAAAGCAGGCTAGGGGAAGATGGAGGATAAGATCAACAAGGCAAGGAGGGTCCTGATCTTGCAGGGATTTTCTGGATTATTATAAGGAGCATGATTTTCTTTTAACTGTAATGGGAAGTCAGTAAAGAGTTCTAAACACGTAGGTGACAAGCTCTGGTTTTATAAGATTAGCCTGGCTGCTGAATATACTGTGTGCTATTGGAAGGCAAGAAAGGATAAAGAAAAAACAGTTGTTCTTGCAATGATCGTTAAGAAATGATGGAGATAAATGGACAAATATAAGAAATAATCTGGAAGTGGATATTACAGACATGGAGATAGATTAGATAAGGGTGATAAGGAAAAGAAAGGTGCGAAAAATGACTGCTAAATTTTAGGCCTGGGCAAATAGCTAGATAATATAGCTAAAGCAATTCCTAATATTTCATAAGATTTGCTCCTCCTCCTTTGAATCCCATTCTTACCAAGCCCTCTTGGTTCTCCTTTTACCTTTCTGACCATCTCTCCTCAGTTTCCATGAAGGGGCTCCTCTTTCTTTTCTTTTTCCTGAAGTCTTTCCCCGTTTGATCTTATGCTACATCAGAGTCCGTAAATCCAAACCTCTGCAGTGCCCAGGCAATGAACACAAAAGAATGAAGCTCATGGATAGAGACTATAGAGAACTGGAGTTCATGGTCTCCCTACTCAGCTCTAGTTAATTTTTTGTCCACCAGGAATGCTAATCCTATGATATCAGATCCTCTCATTTTTTAAAGAGAAATCAGTATACTGATACTTACATGAAATCTTCCAAATTTTAAACATTGGTCACTAATTCAAATTTTGTTAAACTTTTGTTTTGGACCCACACACAGACACACACACAGACACACACACAGACACACACACACACACACACACACACACCTGCAGGCCACAACTTTGCCTCCTTAGTGGATATTTTCCCAGGGTGGTGACTTTGTGTACGTTCATATGACTACAACCTATAAAGTGATAACTCCCAAGTATGTCTCTCCACCCAAAACTTTTAAAACTTTCTTATTGAAATTCTCAACTTCCATTTAAATGTCCAGTTGGTGTCCCAAACTTGACAAAAACTGAACTTGTTGTCTACTCCCTTTCTCAAACCTAACCTATTCAAATATTCTTTGTCTCAGTTAACATTATCAGTATCTACTCAGTTGCCCAAGATGATCCAGGATCATCCCAGACTCATCCCTTTGCCTTTCCTACTGTCCAACCAAAACATCCTGATCTTGAACTCAATACTTATCACATCTGCCAGTTGCCTCCATCCTTACTAATCACTGTCTTTGCTCAAACATTCATTATCTCTTTGAACAAGTCATTTAACCTTTTCACAACTCAGTTTTCTCACTTGTAAAATGAGAGGATTGAACAAGGTGATTCCTAAGATCTGTTCCACTTGTAAAATTCTGTTTTATAAAGCAACCGTATATGTCATAATAGTTGCCTAGAATTGTTTGTGTTTTTTTTTAATTAAGTTTACTGAGGCAACATTGGTTAATACAATTATATAATTTTCAGATGTACATTATCACACAATATACAGATGTATATTCTATTGTGTGTTTACCATCCAAAGTCCAGTTTCTTTCAGCTACCATATATTTGATCCCCTTTACCCACTTCACCCTCCCCCTACCCCCTATATTTTACCGTCTTTACCCCATCTACCTCCCCCCTCCTCCTCCACCCAACTAGTAAGCACTATGCTATAGTCCTCTGGTAACCACTAGTCTATAGTCTATATCCATGAGTCTCTATTTGTTTGTCCTGCTCATTTGTTGCTTTTAGGTTTATATCCCACATATAAGTGATATCATGTGATTTTCAACCTTTCTGTCTGGCTTGTTTCGGTTAGCATGATTATCTCGAGGTCCGTCATGTTGTCTCAAATGGCAGTATTTCATCTCTTCTTATGGCTGAGTAATATTCCATTGTATATATGTACCACCGCTTCTTTATTCAATCATCTATCATAGGACATTTCAGTTGCTTCTATGTTGTATATATGTACCACCACTTCTTTATTCAATCATCTATCATAGGACACTTTGGTTGCTTCTATGTCCAGGCCACCATGAATAATGCCACTATGAACATCAGTGTGCAAATATCTTCTCAGATATGGGTTTTTCAAGTCTTTGGGGTAAATACCCAGTAGAGGGATTGCTGGATCATGTGGTAGATCAATTCTCAGTTTTCTGAGGAAACTCTATACTTTTTTCCATAGTGGCTGTACCAATTTGCTGTCCCACAAGCAGTGTACAAGGGTTCCTTTTTCTCCGCATCCTCTCCAACACTCATTACTTGTCCTGTTGATTACAGCTATTCTAACAGGTGTGAGATGGTATCTCATTGTGGTTTTGATTTGCATTTCCCTAATAGCTAGCAATGTTGAGCATCTTTTCATATATTTGTTGGCCATTTTTATGTCCTCCATGGAGAAGTGTCTGTTCAGGTCCACTTCCCATTTTTTTATTGTGTTTATGGGTTTTTTTGCCTGCTATTTTAATATCAAAGATACTGTAACAAGGTTGACAAGGAAAAACTTGATAGAAATAATCAATACAAAGTGAAATTAACAGTGGCTAAAACTGGACAGTTTTGTTATAGAGTTAAAACTGACTGAAAAATAACTGCTGATTAGTAATATTGAAAACAGGGAAAATTGAGAAAAACAGACATGGTAAAATTTATTTTTTATTAAAACTTAGTGGAAAATCTAATTTTCCTGACAAAATTTGATCTACAAAGTTTGAGTAGAAAAAAATTGGTCTTGGTTAATTAACCACACACACAAAAAAGTTCATAATGTCAGAACCTCTATAATTTGTGGTGGAGAGAAAAAAATAATACAGAATTGTAACATCAGTGTAAGGTTTACATGTAAAAGAATGAGAACTGATTCCAGTAAAAATAATTTTAGTTAATGGAAAAAATGAGAAACAGTTGAACTGTAGTATAAAATTGATTAAATTGGCATGATGAAATTTTCTCCAGAAAAAAACCTTTTTTTTATATTAAATTATTTCAAATATAATTTTAAAGCTTGGATTGAAGTCAAGAGCCTGGTAAATTTTTTTATATATATATTTACTAGTTATAAAGAGTTTATTGATATGCAAAAGTTTTCTCATTTTGACCATCCAGAGTAAAAAGAACTCAGAAAACTGGAAAAGTGTGCACTTAAAATTCTGTATATTGCAGTTGAAACAAACAAGTAGAGCCAAGACAACAAATCACTTGATACGAGCTGTCTTGTTTTTCTTGAGGCATTCATACAGTACCAACCATGACCATGCTTCAGCTGACACTTTATATTGTTGTTTGTACTCATAAGAATAAAGAGCCCCTTCGACAGTCTTTTTTTCTTTCCACCTGTTTCTCATGGTTATGTAGGAAAAGTTAGATTTTACAAAGTAAATTATTATAAAAAATGTAATTAAAGAATTCATCAACTTGTAAATGTGAAATATCCAGTCCAGCAAACTGAAGGTAATGTCTGCTCCAACCTGCTTTCGGCTTACCTTAATTTGCATATTACTTCTTAAAGATAAATCTCAAAGGTCTATCAAGAAGGTTCTCACAAGAGAAATCTATTTTGATTGGGTCCAATAAGTGTTCAGGATGCTGTCATAATCCATTTAAGAAACAGTTTTCTAGAAAATACTTTTTATGAGAAAAATTATTGATGTTAAGTATAATTTTGATTTAAATGTTTGTTTATATACACAAATATCACAGAATCAAAATGGCAGAGTTAACATCTTGTATTCATTCAATTGCTCTTGAAAATCCTGAGCTAGTCTTTTAGTCCTAAAACTCATACTTATGAGTATTTATTTATGCTAAAAGCAGAGGTATTTTCCTAAGATCTACATAATTAGAATGTGTATATCCTGGTTGCAGATATGCTTTTCATTAATGACTAGTCTTCCATTTGATGCTAACAGCTCCATGAAATCTGTTTATATCTCTATTGAGATTTAGTGCATTGGATTCAATTTCAAAAGAATTTCTGACTTGGCTCAGGTGAACTAAGTAAAGAGAGGAGAGGAAGACAGACACTGCTGGCTGTCCTTCAATAACCAGTCTCTTCTTCATACAAATAGAACTCTTAGATTTTAGATAATAGTATATCCTATCCTAGCTGGACCCATGGATACTCAGAATAAGGAATATTTATCAGCTTCCCTTGCAGCTACATGTGACTAAGTGCTGGTTAATGATAGTAAGAGTAAGTATAATGTGGCAACCATCCTTATAAAACAGATGGGACATAAGTTTATCTTTTCTCAA